TACTCAAAAACTGCTAATGATTCCACTCATAGATAGATATAAACAGCATGGGACATAGTAATGTATCCTGTGAGACCCCACATTGAAGGCACATGGGGCTAGGCACAAGCCCTGTCATCTGAAAATGACCGGAACTACCACAAAGCAGTGCTGTCGACCCTAACTCAGACAGCCATTCCAGAAGAAAACCATGATCAATGGTACTGAAAGCTGCTGAGAGATCAAGGAGAATTAGAAAGGGCAAATACACACCCTGCCTCTCTCCCAACAGAGATCATCATACAGGGTGACCAAGGCGGCTTCCATGCCCAAACTGGGTCGAAACCCCGACAGAAATGGATCTAAAAAACAGTCGTCCAAGCAGGGGAGATTAGCAGCTGGCTGGTAATTACTTAGATTTTCTGAATCCAGGAAGGATTTCTTAAAGAGTGGTCTTACCACTGCCTCTTTTAAGCTGGAAGGAGCCACCGCCTTGCATTAATCACCTCCCTGGCTCAGCTGGCTGTCCCCTCTGTGCTAGTTTTGTCAGCCCTGAGGTTCAAAGGTCAAGAGCACCGGTGGTTCCCCAGACCAAACCAAACACCTTTTCCATGCCTTCAAGCCTTACTAACTCATCTAACACAGCAGGACTAGACAGTGCTTTGGACACCTCTTGAAACCATCTGCTAGAGTAGTAGAGACAAGGTCAGGGGATGTAAGCAATTTTTTCTTCAAAATGCTTTGTTAACCAAGTTCCTTGGGGCCTTTCCCTTGAAGTACTTCATGGTAATGTGTGCTTGGATTTTATCTGAACAGCGCTGGAAGCCAAGAGAAATTCCGTAATGTTCCTGTGCTGCTTCTGGTTTAAATTTAAAATAGTATGTTGTAAGTGCACAATGGGTGGAGGGCCATAAAGAAGTATGGAATTGGTCCTCTGTTCTGTATCACTTTGCTGTTTCTGTTCTAGAGGGTGTGTGCAATGAATCATCTTGTGTCTCTCACTTTCATGCATCGTTTCTCCTCCTGGAATCCCCTGCTGAGGTTTCAAGTGCCCAAAAGCTGAGCCTGGATTAATTGTAACCTGTGAAGTGCTTGTCACTGCCCTCCCCCACCACTCCCCAATTCTTTTCCCCTAGAGCTTTCATCACCTTGGCTGCCTGTTGTCCTGGTGTTTTGGCATTCTGCAATGAACACATAACAGCTTCCATCAATTAGAATTAATTTTACATTACAGCAGTGGACTTAATGTACCCTGGATTTGCTTGCAGATCAGCAGATGTGAACTTGACTTTGTTGTCTTTATTAGATTTTAGACTCCATCAATACCAGCGTTTTCCCATCAGGTGCCTTCTTAGTACAAATGCAGTGTTGGAGAATTCGGTTTGGTAGCATTTTCACCCTCATTTTCAGTGGAGCATTATGGGCACTTGTTTGTGGTTTATTGTTTTCTTAACTTATAAGCCACACTTGGAAACTGAATTTGAACTTTAAGACAGTTTATAATTTAAAACAGTATTAAATATCAGAATAGTTAAAATACTAAAATTACTAAATAAAACAATAAATTAAAAAAATAGAACCAGTAACAGAGAGAAATATTTAAATTAACCAAGAGCTTTTAAAAGAAGAGTGAGTCTCCCCTACTGCCACACTGCTGATGCTTTAGAATGGTAAAAAGGAGTAGTTTATAATGCAATTGTATGTGTGATTCCCTTTTCATCATTTATTTTCGTGGGAAGAAAGGGGATGCCTTCGTCAGGAAGCAGGAATAGCCTTTGTTTCATCCAAGGTGGTTGGGCACACAATGCCGTTTCTTCATCCCTTCCTCTTTCCCTCCAGTTGAAGGCAGCCATTTGGGTACAAACCATTTCTAATGCTGTCACTCAGAGATGTGAGAACAGAGTGATTCTACCTATCTGCAAATGTCAGCTTTCAAACAGCAACAGGAAGTGCAGGGTGCATGTTGTTAGTCTTGCCTTTTCTTCTCTTTTCTGTCTTTATGATCACTTTATCATGGCAGTCATTGTAGCTGCTATGAATCTAAG